AAAAAAAAAAAAAAAAAAAAAATTGAGTCTCACGTGGCCAATTTTAATCTTACCACCCACAACTCTTCTCTCAAACTACTGAAGACTTAACTATGTCTGGTAGTATTCCAATGGATACCTTTTCATTCACTGTGCTCTTTCTTCTCAGTGCTACCAAGAGAGGCATTTACATGGGTAGTTTCAAAACTCTGGAATCAGGAAAGTCAAGATGGCTTGGTGTTGAAAGGTACCAGCTGTTAAGCCTGACAACATGAGTTCAATCCCTGAGGCCCACATGGTGGAAGAAGAGAATGGAATCACACAAGTTGTCCTTTGACCTTCATATGAACATCATGGTAAGTACAAACATGAGCACACACATACACACTCTGATTCTTGCCCTAAAGACAAAATAAGATGCTGCCAGGCTTGGTGGCACACACCTGTAATCCTAGCATTGAAGGAGACAGAGGCAGGAGAAAACATAACTCCAAGGCCAGGTTGATCTGCATAGAAGACTACCTCAAAAGAGAAACAATACAAAGGGCTAGGAATGTGGTGTAGTTAAGTGGAACAACATTTTCCCAGCAAGTGAAGAGCCCTGGGTTCTACCCCCAGCACTACAAACAGACAACACTAAAGTGTTGCCCTGGGGTTACAGCTCTGTGGTAGAGCATTTACCCACAATGAGTGCTGCCCTGTCCAATCCTGGCACAGCCCTACCCCCAACCCCCCCACCCCAGACACACACAAAGGGAAGGAGGGGAAACATCTGCACAAAGCCTCTTTAAGTAGTCATTTGTGCCAACCGAGCCCTTCCAAAGTTCTCATTGTCTATAATATACTCATTGTGGCAAACAATGGCTCAAATTCTCAATACTGAATCTTACCTGCTCTGTCTCCTCCCACTTTTGGGCTGCTCATTAAAACCAAAGGAAAATACAAAAAGAACAGCTCTATGTGTATGGTAAATGGTATGTACATATTTCTTTCATTCGTGACTGTGTAACTCACAAAAGCCTGAAACTAACTCCACTGATGTTAAAATCAAGAGCATGAATAAGATTATGTAGAAATCAAATGATTGTAACTTCTTAATATACATCTACAATAGAGGTGGGGTTTCCCCAGGAAGGCCCATTACTAGGTCTTTGTGTTATTTTACTTGAACACTAAAGGTCTGAGTTACACAACTACTTTAACTACAGGTAAAAGCCTTTTATCTCCCTTAATTAGTTTCCATCCATTTGCTGTTTGCCTTTGAAGTCTAGCTCCATTCCCTATATTCACTCTTCAAAAAAGTATGTTTCTTTTAGAAGCAAGCAAAGACTAAATAAAAATGTGAATCAATTGTTAACGTCCTTCTTAACAGCACATACAACTAAATAAATGTTCTTAAACCTAGCAGGCCTTACACCAAGAGGGCAACGCTCCAGCATATGTTACTCTGAAAATCAAAGGGGCTGGCAAGATGGCTCAGTGGGGAAAGGCACTTGCTACCACGCACGGACACCGGGGTTTGATCCCCAAGATCTGACTTCATTTTTGTAATTCTCCAAGTGGATGGACCAAAAGCAGACGTTCAGCATACTTGCCACTGGAGGGTAGACTCCATTCCTTTATAGCCACAACTGTTAACTCTGAGCTAGGAAAAGAAATGCCTGCCGGGAAACAAATTCAACCCAGGGGATTCCCGGGGGCTCCTCGGAGCCTGGGGTTTCCAGGAGGCCCACGCCTCAGAGAATTAAAGAGGAAGGAGACGGGGCGGTCTGATGAGGGAGGCGTAAGCATTTCCTGATGCCCTTTTCTCAAGACTTCCCCAGGCCACTCACCCTGCCGCTGGAGGCTAAAAGAGGGGGAAACCCAAGCAAAGGGCACTCTGAACGGTCACTTTAAAAGAAACGGCTTGGCTTTGCCGTCTCGGTTCAGGGATCTGAGCACGTGGGCCGGCAGCCCGTAGTGGCCCGGGGCTGGGGATCCGGGATCGGGGCTGGGGAGCACGCAGCTCCTACCTTCAGGGCTGGACCATGGCCACCCTCCTCCGGACGCGCCTTCCGCTGCTCGCCGCCTCCTGCGGCCTCTCTCGGGGCTTCCGGGACGCCACGCGCCCTCTGGGCACTCCCGCCGGTGGACTCCGACCCGCAAGCTGCCGGACCACGAGACTCCAGGTCCGCCAGAACTCAAAAGAAGCACTGAGGGGCAGCTAAAGACACCGACCTCGCGACCACACAACACTAGCTCGTCCCAGCATGGTCTGGCTTTTGACACTGCACCTGGAGGATGCAACAGCCAGGGCTTCCTGGAATCTGAAACCACAGTCCATCCACGCTCTGGATGACATCAGGGGAGGATGGTCCCATTTCACTAAGGGGTAAACTCGGTAAAGTCTGGGACAATTAAAAACGGAGCCCACAGCTATATTGATACCAGCACTTGAAAGAATAGTTATTCAGTACTAATATCAACAGTTAACATGGCATAATGATATAATGCAATGTTTTTATATATAGTATTTAGTCTTAACAGCTGTATTTTAGACGTAGGTATTACCACATCCATTTCACAGGTAGGGAAACTGAGCTACTTCTAGCCAAGCAACTTGCACAAGTTGGAGCAGCCAGTCAATACTGTAAACAGGACTCAAATGCAGACAGGACAGGCTGCACCGCCTCCTTCAGTTAGGGAAGGGCTGTGTAGCAGTCTCAGCTGCCCTGTTAAATAACAGCCTAGGTCGGGAAGGGCAAGCCACTTGAAAAACATGACATGTGCGGCACAATATCATGGAGTTTCTTAGCATGTGAAAATACCTGTAAAGGCATGCAATTTCTTAATGTTATCACTCATATTCGGCACACTGCCACATATGTATAAATCAAGACCCTTGCTCTGCAAATGATACCCATTTTCTCTGGTAGCCTGCAAGCCACCAGTAGCCAAGGACCAGACTCAAGTCCCCATATACTGAAGCTTTGTGGCCCTGGCTATCCTGAGCACCCTGCCAAGAGCTTCCCTTAGCTCGACCGCAAAAGACCCAGCCCTCTCAGACACACATTGAATGTGTGCCCCCTCCCCTTCCAAATCACCACCCCGGAGCGATGCTCTCCGACCCGCCAGCGAACTTAATGAGCAACCCAGGCCCCTGGCGGTCAGCTTCACGCTGACACAGAGCTTACGTGAACAAGCACGATGAAAACACCAGCTCTCCTCACCCCGCGGCGTCCCACACCTTCCGCGTGGATGCAAGGCCTGACGGAAGCAAACTGAGGCTAAAGACTGGCTGGTTCCTAGTGGCTCTAGGAAGCCACGCCCTGCTCTTAGTAGGCGGGTGAACTGACAGTGTCAGAATGACAAAGCAAAAATCCAGTCCTCGTGCAGCCCTGGCAACCTGTACCCATCGGCTCGGCAAAGTAAGAGCTCCTAATTGGACAGCGCCTATTCCTGATGCTCAGAACCGCCCCACCCCCACCCAAGGCTAGGGCTGCAATTCAAAGAATGTTGGGAACCAGACCCAGTAGTAGTTGAGTGTGCAATGAGTAAACCATCCCCTGCCTGCCCTGGGCGCTGCTCTCTACGAAATACGTCGTCATATGAGGAACTTTAGAAATACTGACTCCTGGCACCCACACAGATGTTCTGATGACCTTGGTACTGGCTGTGACCCTGGCACCTAGGTTTTAAAAACTCCACAAGTGATTTTAGTTGACAATAAAGTTAGGGACGCACTGCCCTAAGGCAATGGATTAGTCACATTTAGTAATTCCCTAAAGGAAGTTACTGGGATTTTTAAATCATATCTGACTAACCCTGAAAAGAAGTGACTAATTCTCCTTACATTACTTCCTCCTTGTCAGGCTTGGGGTTGTCTTGTTCACTTTAAGGGAAATAGTATATTTGGCACTTAGCACAGCATCTGCCAAAGGAGGCATGTCCTCTCATGCTTCTCTACCCTTAGGTCGGTGAGAATGCTTGGTGGATAGATGAATGAATGAATGAATGAAGTGTTTGGCCCACTACTTTGGTTCTTGCCAGGGTGAAAGAAAACAAGGCGAAAGCTCCTAACAGCTTAAGGCCACACCTCCTGGTAACTGGGCGGCCTCCTGCGTTCCTTCTAGGCTTTTCCAAGGTGAAAGTAAAAAACTTGCACAATGTACACACACTGCACAGGCTAACCCTTCTCCCACACTTCCCCCACTCCACACACTTCTCATATGTATGCAGTGCTTGTACCATCACCTCACCTGGACTGAGGTGTTAGGACTGTAACCAAGTGCTTAGTAGCTCTTTGTGGCCCCAAATACCTACTCTTAATTACACATCTAAGTATCAGAACTTTGGAAAAGCAAACCCTTGTTTGATTTCTTGCCTCTCCAGAATGTGGTACAGAGCAGGTGCTCAGAAAATGATGGGAAATGCTTGTCTGTTTCTCAACTGTTAGCTAAGACAGGCGATATGGGACATATTGCATTAAAAGTGTTCCACTATAAAATGTCCACCTAGAGACAGAGCACACTGAGCTGGTACAATGGCTGTTCAGGCCTTCCTTTCTCTAGGGCCCTTGAGATTGCCTCCCAGGCTTCTTTTTGTTGTTTGTTTTGTTTTTTGAGTCGGGGTTTCTCTGTGGCTTTGGAGGCTGTCCTGGAACTAGGTCTTGTAGACCAGGCTGGTCTCGAACTCACAGAGATCCACCTGTCTCTGCCTCCCAAGTACTGGGACTAAAAGGCGTGCTCCACCACCGCCTGGCACCTCCTGGGCTTCTTAATGGCACAGACAAGGCAGACCCACCCTTAGTGTTTTTGTGATTGATTGTTATGTATTGTTTGTTTGGTTTGGTTTTTCAAGACTGAGTTTCTCTGTGTAGCTCTGGCTGTCCTGTAACCCACTCAGGTTTTCAGATGCAGAGATCTACCTGCGTCTGCCAGGATTAAAGGCTCGATACTGTCAGACACCATCTGGATAAAATCCTTTAATCCCAATACCCAGGAGACAGAGGCAGGTGCATCTCTGTGAGTTTGAGGCTATTCTGGTCTACAAAGTGTCTACAGGCTCCAAAGCTACACAGAGAAACCCAGACACACCACACACACACACACACACACACACACACACACCACACACAAAACTAACAAGAAAAAATCCAAAACCAAAAAAGACCCACTCTTGTTAATGCTAGCTGTCCACACAGCCTGTACCCTTACATTGTTGGAGAAACACTTGGAGAGTAAAAGTGATTTCTACTTAAAAGTCAAGGCCACAAATCTCAAAGCTGTCCTCAGCCCTACTCAGCAACTGTTATCAGAAAGCGTGTGGGGACCTTGGCTGATCCCATGGCAGGCGAGGGTGACCAAGGCAGAGGGACAAACACGCCAGGCAGACAGAGCTTGAGGAACCAAAAATTAAAATTAATAAAAGTTTAAAAACTTAGGCCCTGAAAAGGGAACTTCTAATGGCAAAGGAAAATTTAACTCCTTAAACCAGGAGTGCCATGACTGGCACCTGAGCCCCTGCTCTCAGAGAAGGGGAGGTGACTGTCCACCACTCCTGTTAACATTCCTTTGCTAATTGCTGGTCTTAAAGGTCCCCTGCCTGTTGTAAAGATTCCCCAGTCCAGGGGATAACTGACAGACCCTGTGACCCCATAACTCTGCAAGCCCATGCCTGTCTTATCTCACTCAAACGTATCTTGCTTAAAATATATAGTTACTGCTTGACTCTGTACTTTGTATGACCTTAAGTAACCATGGAAACCCTGAAATTTGTGGCCTTCAAGCTTATGGTCTGCCCCTTTAAAAGCTTCTCTTTTTGGCTGGTTGGCATCTCATTTACCCGCCAAGCAGTGAGATCCAAGCTGGCTAGCTTGAACAATAAAAAGAAACCTTTTGCTTTTGCGTCAGAGTGTCGACTCCTTGGGTTAGTCTCTGAGCTCTATGAACCTAGACAAGCTTAAGTGGGAAGTTTTATTAGAAAGGGAAGGGGGGAAGGAAAGAGAAAAGAGGTAAAGAGACACAGAGACAGAGAGAGGACAGAAGAGAAGAGGGAGGCAGGAAAAGTCTTATCTGCTCCAAGAGAACCGCGGGGAAGAGAGAGGGAAAGAGCACGGAAGTGGGCAGGAGTCTTTCTTTTAAAGGGGTCCTTTGCACCTGAGTGCAGACTATACAACCATGGAAACCTGGGCTGACCAGGGTTCTGCCAGGTGACAGGGGCAGGCCAGCATAGTGCCTGAGTCCTTACAGCAGTCTATCACCCTGTTGTATTTTCCCAGCAGCCCTGGTGACTTCCACTTTCTCCTCCTTTTCTCACGTGTCTCACTGCTTGCTGCTTCTGCCATCCCTCTGCTCATAACCTAGTTTCTATTTAGGCAAATAGAATGAACCAGACAGAATTTCCCAGTATTTCCCCATGGCCACCAAACTACTAAATTCTTTGCCATGACTCCAGGTAGAATAAAAGCAAGGTCCTTGGGCTCCTGTGCAGGCTCTCACCAATTCTTGTCATTCCAATAACTTCATCAGGAAAGATCCCCTCAGGCATCATCAATTCCTTGATCATTTCTATCATCACTCGAACATGCTGTGCTTTTCTTGGTTCATAGAAGCCATTGCTTTCTTCAACCAGGCAACAGGGGTGAGGTGGGTGTTGAAAGAGCTCTTTGCACTTTGAAGAACAATAAAGGAAGCAGAAGGGTAAGAAACTATCTAAGAATGTGCCTGTGGGGCGAGCCTAAAGGAAAGTGAAGGTGCACACCATGCAAACCTTTCTAAGCAGAGGAGACAAGAAACAAACAAGAATCAAGTCTAAAGCCTGCTGTACTTAGCCAGCCAGGCAGCCAGGGAACCAGGAAGAAATGGTAGAAAAGAGGCACAGATCCAGGAGGAAGCTGCATGGAGGTTGAAGCCATAAAGGCTTGGACTAGTGAGGCAGAAGCTGACACAGGTTTGCAGACAGTGGAATGAGAGATGTCAAAGGAAGATAAGAGTCTACCAGCCCAGGGAGCAAAAGTTAGTTTGGTTCACATTCATAGTCCAACTTGAGAGGTCTATGTTCCCATAGGCAATTGGATATATATATCTAGAGGTCAGAGTTAAAAGTAAAAATTTGAGAGAAATCAGGAGACCCCAATATAAATGACATCAATATATACTATATGTATACTATATGTACTAGATGGGCCTAGTGGCAGATGCCTTCAATCCCAGCACTCAGGAGGTGGAAACAGACAGATATCTGTGAGTTTGAGGCCAACCTGATCTACAAAGTGATTTCCAAGCCAGCCAAGACTACCCAATTTCAAAAAAAAATAAACAAATACTAAAATAAAAATACTACATATGTTAGGTTTTTCTAGAAAAAAAACAATCTGTGGAATATATGAGTATAAGGGGAAAGTGAATTTAAAAAAAAAAAAAAAAGAATTGCAAACAGGGGACTTGCCTGTGATCCTAATGTTTTGGAAGTGAAGGCTAGAGGATCAGAAGTTCAAGGTTATCCTTTGCTTGGAAGTTTGAGGCCAGCCAGGACTGTAAGAGACCCTGTCTTAAAGAACTGGCTCAATGCTTCGAAGGCCAACAAATCTACAATCCACAGGCTGGAGATTTTAGTATCACTCTGCAGGCAGGGGACTCCTCTTTGGTGGGCCTCTGGCTTTTCTCTGAGAGCCTTGAAGTAGTTGGATAAAGCCCACAAGCATTATGGAAGGTAATCTGTTTTACTGATTTCAATGTTAATTACACTTTTAGAACACCTTTACAGCAGCATCTCTGTCACACTAAAGGAGTGGGTGACCATAGCTGGGCCAAGCTGACACATGAAGTTAATTCTCACACTGTGGTCCTAGATGAAATCACCAGAGAGCTGGTGCATTTAGGGAAATGAAGGTGGCCCAGAGACAGAGCCCTGAGCACCAAGTTACAGAGAGAAGGACTCGGCCAAGTAGGAGGCCCTGGGAATGTAGGCAGAAGCCAATGAAAGTTGGCTGTTTAAGGAAGGAGGCCTAGAGACGAAGTGCTGCTGAGAGAACCTGTGGATAAGAACCAGTGAAGAAGCTGAGGGAAACAAGGAACAGAAAAGTACTGGAGGTGGGGAGCAGAGCCAACTCTTTCATCCTGAAACAACAAGAAGCAGGGAGCAGGGAATGAAGCCTGAAGAGGATGCGGGATGGGGCTAACAGTGCCAGGGCCTTTGTATTTTTGTTCCTATAAAAAAAGAGTTGATTACAGGGTGTTATCATATCGACATACTGAGGGAATAACCCAGACAGGGTAATGTGGCAGGTCCCAAAGAGGAAAGGAC